TTTTTTTTTTTTTTTGGGATAAACAAAATAGGTGTCCCTGTTACTATGGAAATTGCTAGTGATCTATTAGACCGGCAGGGTCCTATTTATAGGGAGGATACAACAGTTTTTGTGAGTCAATCTGGTGAAACAGCAGACACTTTGCGTGCTCTCGAGTATGCTTTAGAAAATGGTGCATTATGTGTTGGCATAACAAATACTGTTGGTAGTGCAATAGCCCGGCATACACACTGTGGCGTTCATATAAATGCTGGTTGCGAGATTGGTGTTGCAAGTACCAAGGTGAGCAAACACAGCTATGGAATCATTTATTTTGTCATTTTGTTTTATGGTTTGCATATTTAATGCCATTTTGACTTAACAGGCATACACAAGTCAAATAGTAGTGATGGCCATGTTAGCTTTAGCAATTGGAGCTGACACAATTTCTAACCAAGCAAGAAGAGAGGCTATAATAGATGGCCTATTTGACCTGCCAAGTAAGCTTTTGCCATAAATTTTTCAATGTCAGAACTTATGGCTATTTATTCATGTGAGATTTTAGCTAGTGGCTGGACTTCAGTCTTCTCATGTATGTGTGATACAGGTAAAGTTAGAGAAGCACTGAAACTTGACCAGGAAATGAAGGAGCTTGCAAAACTATTGATGAATGAGCAATCACTTCTTGTGTTTGGGAGGGGATACAACTATGCAACAGCTCTGGAGGGTGCTTTAAAAGTGAAGGAAGTGGCTCTTATGCATAGTGAAGGAATACTTGCTGGAGAAATGAAACATGGTCCCTTGGCTTTAGTTGATGAAACTCTTCCAATTTTTGTTATTGCTACTCATGATGCCTGCTTCAGGTTGGGTTTCTTGTGATTGAAGCATTTCTATCAGTTTAATTGTCCTTTGTTTGATACTGATATAGTGATATAATTTAATTGCTAACAGCAAGCAGCAGTCAGTCATTCATCAACTTCATGCTCGCAAAGGTCGCTTGATAGTCATGTGTTCAAAGGGAGATGCTGCTTCTGTGTGTCCTGGGGAATCTTGTAGAGTAATTGAAGTTCCTCACGTTGAGGATTGTCTTCAACCTGTGGTTAATATAGTTCCATTGCAGGTATTTTTCTCACAAATGTCTCTACCCATAAATGCATATAGCAAAGTTGGCTTTTCAAGAAACACATGTTTACATCACACAATTGTGTTTGCATTTGATCCATTATTTTGTTTATTATTACTGGCTTGAAGACAAATTCATGCATCACGTCCGTTTTCATCCTCTGGAAATTGACTCTCTCATGATTAACCATGTAACATAAGTAACATAAACGCTGGTTCTTCCAATAATAAATGTTATTTGCTTTGTTTTGTGGGTGCAGTTACTGGCATATCATCTCACGGTTCTTAGGGGTTACAATGTTGATCAGCCTCGGAATCTTGCAAAGAGTGTGACAACAGAGTAATGGGTTTCTACTGGCAAATCTCATGTTGCTAATTTTGTTTCTACTCACCCTCTTTTCCTCCAATGAAGCACCCCTTGCATCCACCGAGATAGTTTCCCTCACTCACGTCCATATTTTTTTTCTTTATTCGTTACAGTACACTATGTCCAGTATGTATTGTAAATTGATAGTATAGAAACCAATCGAACTCATGGCGTCTTCTCTTTGTTAACTTTTGAATCTTTTTAAAGATAAATTAGACGTCTAAAAGGTCCATTTTTTGCTGCTGAAAAAATGCGATGACAGCTCTCTCTCTCTCTCTCTCTCTTAATATTTTTAGTTATCTGATAAAAGATAATCATCTTCCTCGTTCAAGGCAGAACTAAGATGCAAGGGGGTACTTGCCCCTTGGACTTCTAAAAAAAATTAAATAAGTCTCATATTTAAAAAAAAAAAAATTAAAGAAACCCTTCTTAAAAGAAATAAAATAATGTATTTTAACTTTTATTCTTAAAATCATTAATAACTGGGCAAGTAAAATATATTTTTATAAATATTTTTATTTATTTGATATATTTGTTGATAGTTGTAATATATATTTGGTTAATGATTATTTGTACCAACTAACAAAATAAAATGAACTTGAAATTGGTATTTTTAATTTTTTTAAAACATTTAGTTTTACTTGTTATATCATATTAAATAATATTTTGTGATAAAAATTATGTTTTGAATTGAAATTTAAATATGCATAAGTTTTAATAAGTTTTTGGATATTTAAGCTCTAAAATTTTAGTTTTGTATGTTTTAATTTTATTTATAAGATAAAAAATTTGTTTTTAGCACATAAATTTCAAAT